TTCATATCTTCAAACTAACTTTGTTGCCATCTCACTGACTATTCTTTCTTGTTGAAGTTGCTTCTATCACTGTGATCCAGTGTATGACAGACTGAGTCTCCAACATCCTCACTGCATGTGTCCTGTAGATCATTGTGATCCAGTGTGTGACAGACTGAGTCTACGCCATCCTCACTGCATGTGTCCTGTAGATCATTGTGATCCAGTGTGTGACAGACTGAGTCTCCAACATCCTCACTGCATGTGTCCTGTAGATCATTGTGATCCAGTGTGTGACAGACTGAGTCTCCAACATCCTCACTGCATGTGTCTTGTAGATCACCGTGATCCAGTGTGTGACAGTGTGTGACATTTCATATCTTCAAACTAACTTTGTTGCCATCTCACTGACTATTCTTTCTTGTTGAAGTTGCTTCTATCACTGTCATCCAGTGTGTGACAGACTGAGTCTCCAACATCCTCACTGCATGTGTCCTGTAGATCATTGTGATCCAGTGTATGACAGACTGAGTCTACGCCATCCTCACTGCATGTGTCCTGTACATCACTGTCATCCAGTGTATGACAGACTGAGTCTCCAACATCCTCACTGCATGTGTCCTGTACATCACTGTCATCCAGTGTATGACAGACTGAGTCTCCAACATCCTCACTGCATGTGTCCTGTAGATCATTGTGATCCAGTGTATGACAGACTGAGTCTCCAACATCCTCACTGCATGTGTCCTGTAGATCATTGTGATCCAGTGTATGACAGACTGAGTCTACGCCATCCTCACTGCATGTGTCCTGTACATCACTGTCATCCAGTGTATGACAGACTGAGTCTCCAACATCCTCACTGCATGTGTCCTGTACATCACTGTCATCCAGTGTATGACAGACTGAGTCTCCAACATCCTCACTGCATGTGTCCTGTAGATCATTGTGATCCAGTGTATGACAGACTGAGTCTCCAACATCCTCACTGCATGTGTCCTGTAGATCATTGTGATCCAGTGTGTGACAGACTGAGTCTACACCATCCTCACTGCATGTGTCTTGTAGATCACCGTGATCCAGTGTAACACACTGAGTCTCCAACATCCTCACTGCATGTGTCCTATAGATCGCTGTCATCCAGTGCTGTGATAGACTGAGATATCCCATTTCATTACCAGGCAATTTCCGAAGTCCATTAGTTACCTGATTACACCGTATGCACCATCTCCACAACTACAACGCATATGCAATAATTTATTTATACACAATTAGTGTTCCAGTAAGTTAATTGCTTGTGAAAGCTGATAAAGATAACAACAAATGAAATATGTGGATGCGCCACCCTAAAGTACATGCCAGTTCAACAGGTTTAATTTTGTCAAGAACATAACAACTTCAAGCAAAGGATTCATAATTTATCCGTGTTATGTCATCGAGCTTAACTGTGAGTACAAAAAGAAGACAGAATTGCCTGGTTTCTTATGAAGATGAGACTCAAGCAAGTCATAACTGCTCAACATCACTACTGTGATACTGCAGTGTGACCCATGAAGGATAGGTCTTAAGCAACCCATGCTTGTCGTAAGAGGGAACTATTCTTGTCGTAAGAGATGGCTAACGGCTCAGGTTGTCAGGCTCACTCACTTGGTTGAAGATGTCATCACATCCAAAATGCATGGATCTATGCTCATGATATCAATCACTGGACACACATCCATCATACAGCTAGAATAATGCTGAAAGTGGTATTAAACAACAAACAAACAAACTGCAATACATAGCAGGAGATATAAGATAAGTTCATCCTCAAACAAGTTCTACTTTCTAAACTTGTTGGAATAGATCATAACATGGTTGTGGCATCTTATAACTTATCACCATACACACATCCAGAGGGCGTTGGGGGTGCAGTATTTCACACACCTCTTGTTTGAAAAGCAGACTTTATATTCTGGAAATTTATAGGGGAATGAGTATGATAAAAGTAAACACATAACACAATGACAAGCTCATTTGCTTGTATTTTTCAACAAAATTACACTACAAAGTAGACACAATTTATGGTTAACAACTCCTTTAATAACTGTTGTGATGAAGTTGTTATCCATAAATTGTGTCTACTTTGTCATCTGTCAACTTCTAACTTATGCCTATCAAACAATTTAAAATTACACGATTACTGAAATTTCAAAATCACAAAACACACCCCTCCTTTATCAGGAATTCGTATCCCCAGCTTATCACTATGTATCTCTAGTCAAGGCACATTTGCAAAATACTTTTTTCAGGAGAGATGCTCTCTACAGATATGGGTCAATAGGTAGATAAAACATTTTTATAAGCCTTGATGAGTTTCTTTGGCCACTAGCTACACATGTGATACAAATTTCAGGGTCTCATGCGAAATGATGGGTCGGCCAGTTTATCTAAAACACACATTTTTGTATTTTGCTCAATTAATATTTACAAATCTGTGTTGAGAAGCCAGGTTACACAGTGTGTGAGATAATGTTATTGTTGGCCTTTGAATATGTGTATTATTTATGTAGGTGGCTTGTGGCTCACACAGAAACCAAACATGCCCCCTGACTGAGCCGCTTGTGTATCTAATGGCTTTAACATCAGGTACACAAACCTGTAGCAGGAACAAACAGCTGTCAATCAACTGGTGTCAGACAACTTAATTGTGACATTTAAAACCAAACTTTCCTCCTAGTGCAAGCAGCTGTTGCTCCATATTACTCGCTTGTTTAACACTGTTTAAAGAACAGTTTCACGTTTAAACACATGTTGAATTTTCATATTTACAATGACATTATTTACACACTTCATTCATCACAGGAATGTGTCTATGGTCAGGATATATGGCTGTCTGACTTTCAGCCATGCTGCAGGAAACAACATTGTCAGACTTCAAATATTCATGCCAGGAATATCTGTACCCAGCCGTCATGACAAATTGATGTAGATACGTGCTGTGTGATAAATGTGTGCTGTAGGATAAAAAGAAATAGTTACTGATGACCATGAAATGAGTTCATCATTTCTGAAAGATCCTTACTCCACGTTTGTTAAATCAGGTAGAATATATTTTCCATCTAACAGTTTGCGATTGCAGTGGTCATGACATCTACAATTACACTCTCAAAGATCATGACATTCACATTTTTACACTCAGATATCATGCAACCTAAGAGGTTATGACATCCACACTGGCACCTTCAGGGGGTAATGACATCCACATTTGCATAGAGATCATAACATCCACATTGACACTTTCAGGGGTCATGAAATCCACATTGGCACCTTCAGGGGTTATGACATCCACACTAGCACCTTCAGGGGTCATGACATCCACACTGGCACCTTCAGGGGTCATGACATCTACACTGGCACCCTCAGGGGTCATGACATCCACATTGGTACCTTCAGAGATCATGACATCTAAACTGGCACCCTCAGGGGTCATGACATCCACATTGGCACCTTCAGATATCATGACATCCACTATGGCACTTTCAGGGGTCCTGACATCCACACTGGCCTTCAGGGGTAATGACATCTACACTGGCACCCTCAGGGGTCATGGCATCCACACTGGCACCCTCAGGGGTCATGACATCTACATTGGCACCTTCAGAGATCATGACATCCACTATGGCACTTTCAGGGGGTCATGACATCCACTATGGCACCTTCAGGGGTCATGACATCTACACTGGCACCCTCAGGGGTCATGACATCTACATTGGCACCTTCAGAGATCATGACATCCACCATGGCACTTTCAGGGGTCATGACATCCACATTGGCACCTTCAGAGATCATGACATCCACACTGGCACCTTCAGGGGTCATGACATCCATATTGGCACCTTCAGAGATCATGACTTCCACTATGGCACTTTCAGGGGTCATGACATCCACACTGGCCTTCAGGGGTCATGACATCCACACTGGCCTTCAGGGGTCATGGCATCCACACTGGCACCCTCAGGGGTCATGACATCTACATTGGCACCTTCAGAGATCATGACATCCACTATGGCACTTTCAGGGGGTCATGCCATCCACACTGGTCTTCAGGGGTCATGGCATCCACACTGGCACCCTCAGGGGTCATGACATCCACATTGGCACCTTCAGAGATCATGACATCCACAATGGCACCTTCAGGGGTCATGACATCCACATTTGCAGCCTTAGAGGTTATGACATCCACATTTGCACCTTAGAGGTCAGGACATCCACATTTGAACACTTAGTTAACATTCATGTTTGCCCTCTCTGAGCACTATTATCCCCAAGTTACTACACTAACAACAGTTACATTGTGGATAGTCTACTCACAATCCGTATAGTTACAGCCATAGGAGCTAGCTCAACACAAATTCAGTGGGGTCACACATATCACAATGATGTTTTCTTCCTTTATGAGGGTGGTGGGGTAGCCAAGTGGTTTCAGCCTTCTCTCGACACGCCAAAGACCGGGCTTTGATTCCCCACATGGGTACAATGTGTGAAGCCCATTTCAGGTGTCATCCACCGTGATATTGCTGGAATATTGCTAAAAGCAGCATAAAACAATACTCACTCACTCTGGCTTTATGAGCCTCTTATAACCTAGAACTCATTGCTGGACTACCACTGACCACAAGGAGCACTTGATGGCAGGGCCTTCACTGCACGGTACCTTCTGGCAATAAGTCATTCCAGTTCATATAAGGGGATGTGGGGTAGCCTTGTGCTTTAAACATTCGCTCTTCACATCAAAGATCCATGTTAGATTCCCCACAGAGGCACAATGTGTGAAGCCCATTTCTGGTGTGCCCCATCATGATATTGCTGGAATAGTGCTAAAGACAATGTGAAACCATACTCACTCACTCACTCCAGTTTTTATAATATAGAACCAGTCAACCTGGACAAGCCCTTGGTGATGCAAGGATACAGCTACAAAGATCCGGAACTGCATTAAAGAGCTATACCCATGTCATATTCCTGAACATGTTACTTACCATATTTATGACAGTGAGGACATAGTTGTTAATGTCCTCATCCTCGTAGTGCTGCACCATCTGGGGGTCCACCACCACCATGGTCTCCACATGCTTCTCCACAGATATTGACCTCTTCTGTCGGCGCTTCTTCTTCTTCTCTACATGCTGGTTGTGTTTCTCCCATCTCTCTCTCTGTTTGAACGCCCGGTCCAAGTTTTCTGTAACATTGAAGGAATACATCAAATGTTACTTTATTGATTAGGCAGCTAAGCTTAGAATCCAGAGAATTGTACACTGTTTAAAACCTATTCTTGATATCCGACCATGTCAAACCATGTGTGCAGCCATCATGCTGAAGAATCAGGTTCAATTCCGTACATTGCACCCTGTTTGAAACCAATAAAAATGGATGTCTCACTCCACGCTAGTGCCTCATAGAAATACATATACATGTACTGCTAAACGTGGTGTGAATCAACTCACTGTACTAACATTTCTGAGACATTGTGACCACGAGGTCCTAACTGCAACACAAAAAGATCATAACTCTTTCAATAGCTTCAAATTGTACTTACTCTCATTTCACTTCCTCTAATCATCAATTGTTTTACATTACAAAAATTAGCAACATAATCAACACCAAGAAAAACAATTAACCTATTTTCTTCGGTTATTGTGTCTCATTGAGACATATTAGTCTTTGAACACTATTTTATCATCAAATAGCACTCCTCAAACTCCTCAGGAGTGAGTGAGTGAGTGAGTGAGTGAGTGAGTGAGTGAGTGAGTGTGTGAGTAAGAGTGAATTGGGTTGTATCAATATTCCATTAATATCACCAAGGGGGACACCAGCAAAGAGCTTCACACATCAGTCTGGCATTTGGCCTAGTGTCCACAGCAACTGCAATTTACTGTGCAGAGCTGCATCTCTATCCATTAAAAGTTGGTTGGAATTCAAGATAATTAACCTTGATCTGTCATCACCATTCCCTTGCTTATTGGAAACATATTTGACTGGGTTTCCTCCACCACTAAGCCCACAAGCAATGATATAACTGAAATGCTGTTGAAAGCCGACTTGAAATCAACTCCCTGAGATGACGTCTTGATGAAAGCCATGGGAAATGTGAAGCAATAAACAAATATACACTGCCAAACACAAATCCCTTTGTATTTTTCCTGGTAAACCATAACAGTATCATGTATCACCTTGTTAGCCATGTACCTGTAGACAAGGACTCCCCCTTTAACAGCCAGACACAGACAGTATGGTGAGTGAGTGAGTGAGTGAGTGAGTGAGTGAGTGAGTGAGTGAGTGAGTGAGTGAGTGAGTGAGTGAGTGAGTGAGTGAGTGTTGTATCAGCAAGTAATTATAATTATACTAGGTTTGTCTGACATTCATAATCAACAAAAACAAGCAGAGATTTAACTAACCAACATCCTGATGTCTTGATGACATTTCCCTAATTGAGGAAGTAGGTTTTGGCTGTAGAGAGTTTATTTTGGTTGTCAGATAGTATTAACAGCAGTCTGGCACTGCTGGTAGTATGCTGAAATAACATGAATGAAGAATCTGCAAGGACTTATGTTGCAGACTCTTGCATTCCAGTAGCAGTTTGCAAGTTACATCATACCAGGTAACTGGGCCAGGGAAGTTAAAATAAACTGCTGGGCAGAAGAAAATATACATCCATGTTTGATTATGGCTAAAAGTGAAACAACCAAGAAAAGGTTATTTGATGGTGATGTATTTGATACGGGTATCATAATTGTGCTTTGGACCTTAAGTGTGCAGTGTTTGCGTCTGTTTTCAGCCTAGTAACATTTTCATAACCTTTGTAATTTTTGGGTTTAAATCCAATTTTCCAGTGTATACTTAAGTGTCAAGTCCACTGCACTGATAACACTTTTGAAAAGATATTTTCAGCATATTGTATGCTAAATATACTTAGATTCTCTTCCGAAAAATATACTTAAAATGAATGTCAAGGTCAAGATGAATTTATCACAAGAAAGTTCCACAGGTATAAAATTCCCAACCTCACTTCATGTTATTACCCACTGTGATTTGAGTATAGCTATCTGCACACAAAGACTAAGATTCAAAACTCTGGTTTGAATAATTATTGTTAATTTATCTCAGAAACAAATTACACTCCCACTGGAATGGTGATGGACAATTACAGGATATAAAGTTTATTCTTTCTCTAAATCAGTTTATGACAGCAGAAATAAAAGTGAAATTTAAAAAAACTGCTTGTCTCATCCCATTTTTTTGTCACACGCTTGTGAGTGAAAAACCCATTTCAGATACCTAATATCAAAAGTGTGAGATAGAATTCCAGGAATTGGCTAATCCATGGCAGCCACTGACTACTTTCCTGATTGTTATTCATGATAAGTTTTTTGTGCTACAGTCGAATTCACCTTAAGTATATCCTCCTTGGCAAGTCTCAGAGTTTAAAACTTTTATTGACTTGTATTGCTATATTGGATATTAAAGACACTTGGATGAGATTCTCTATGTGTTAAAAACCACATCCCTTTTCTATGTGTTATAAACTATATCCCCTCTCTATGTGTTATAAACTATATCCCTTCTCTATGTGTTATAAACTATATCCCTTCTCTATGTGTTATAAACTATATCCCCTCTCTATGTGTAAAAAACTACATCCCTTCTCTATGTGTTATAAACTACATCCCTTCTCTATGTGTTAAAAACTACATCCCTTCTCTATGTGTTATAAACTATATCCCTTCTCTATGTGTTAAAAACAACAACCCTTTTCTATGTGTTATAAACTATATCCCCTATCTATGTGTTAAAAACAACATCCCTTTTCTATGTGTTATAAACTATATCCCTTCTCTATGTGTTAAAAACAACATCCCTTTTCTATGTGTTATAAACTATATCCCCTCTCTATGTGTTATAAACTATATCCCCTCTCTATGTGTTATAAACTACATCCCTTCTCTATGTGTTATAAACTATATCCCTTCTCTATGTGTTAAAAACTACATCCCTTCTCTATGTGTTAAAAACAACATCCCTACTCTATGTGTTAAAATCTACATCCCTTCTCTATGTGTTAAAAACTACATCCCTTCTCTATGTTTTAAAAACAACATCCTTTCTCTATAAGGGTGTCACGATAAATTGAAATATCGATATATTATCGGTAAGCACTCAAAGTCAATAAATCGATTGTTAAATCAGTTTCTGATCAATAGTATCGATTTCAGTTAGGATTATCGATAGTTTCGATTGTATTTATCATATCAATAAAATACATGCAATGCTGATCAAATTTGTTTTTCTTTTGATCGTGAGTGGTAGTAATTTACACATGGTAATGTGGAAGTTTCTTTTTCTTAAATTATTATGGTAAAGAAAAGGACAAATCAGTCATATCTCAAACTTTACTTTTTATTTGTTGTTATGGTTATCATATTCAAAGGAAACTTCCGTTTTAATTCAACTGTAAAATCCATCTTAAATGATACACCGAAAACTATCGATATTTATCACAATAGTTGCTTGCAATATCAATAGTTATCACAATAGTTTCTTTCAATATCAATAGTTATCACCATAGGGATTTCCAGACCAATAGTCACCCCTACTTCTCTATGTGTTATAAACTACATCCCTTCTCTACGTGTTATAAACTATATCCCCTCTCTACTTGTTATAAACTATATCCCATCTATACGTGTTATAAACTATATCCCCTCTCTATGTTCTATAAACTAGATCCCCTCTCTATGTGTTATAAACTATATCCCCTCTCTATGTGTTATAAATTATATCCCCTCTCTATGTTTCATCAACTACATCCATTCTCTATGTGTTAAAAACTATATCCCATCTCTATGTGTTATAAAGTATATCCCCTCTCTATGTGTTAAAAACTACATCCCTTCTCTATGTGTTATAAACTATATCCCTTCTCTATGTGTTAAAAACTATACCCCTTCTCTATGTTTTATAAACTACATCCATTCTCTATGTGTTATAAACTATATACCATCTCTATGTTATATACTATATCCCTTCACTATGTGTTATAAACTATATCCCTTTTCTATGTGTTATAAACAACATCCCTTCTCTATGTGTTGTAAACTATATACCATCTCTATGTTATATACTATATCCCTTCTCTATGTGTTATAAACTATATCCCTTCTCTATGTGTTATAAACAACATCCCTTCTCTATGTGTTGTAAACTATATCCCTTCTCTATGTGTTATAAACAACATCCCTTCTCTATGTGTTATAAACAACATCCCTTCTCTATGTGTTGTAAACTATATACCATCTCTACTTGTTATAAACTATATCCCATCTATACGTGTTATAAACTATATCCCCTCTCTATGTTCTATAAACTAGATCCCCTCTCTATGTGTTATAAACTATATCCCCTCTCTATGTTCTATAAACTAGATCCCCTCTCTATGTGTTATAAACTATATCCCCTCTCTATGTGTTATAAATTATATCCCCTCTCTATGTTTCATAAACTACATCCATTCTCTATGTGTTAAAAACTATATCCCATCTCTATGTGTTATAAAGTATATCCCCTCTCTATGTGTTAAAAACTACATCCCTTCTCTATGTTCTATAAACTAGATCCCCTCTCTATGTGTTATAAACTATATCCCCTCTCTATGTGTTATAAATTATATCCCCTCTCTATGTTTCATAAACTACATCCATTCTCTATGTGTTAAAAACTATATCCCATCTCTATGTGTTATAAAGTATATCCCCTCTATACGTGTTATAAACTATATCCCCTCTCTATGTTCTATAAACTAGATCCCCTCTCTATGTGTTATAAACTATATCCCCTCTCTATGTTATTTACTATATCCCTTCTCTATGTTTTATAAACTACATCCATTCTCTATGTGTTATAAACTATATACCATCTCTATGTTATATACTATATCCCTTCACTATGTGTTATAAACTATATCCCTTTTCTATGTGTTATAAACAACATCCCTTCTCTATGTGTTGTAAACTATATACCATCTCTATGTTATATACTATATCCCTTCTCTATGTGTTATAAACTATATCCCTTCTCTATGTGTTATAAACAACATCCCTTCTCTATGTGTTGTAAACTATATCCCTTCTCTATGTGTTATAAACAACATCCCTTCTCTATGTGTTATAAACAACATCCCTTCTC